CAAACATAGACCATGACTGCAAGTGTAAGTAATACAGAGATGCTCTTTTGCTAATGTCAGCTAAGATATTGGATACAGCTCATGACAGTAAAATGCCTGAACAGTATCTTCAAATAATAGAACAAAAAAGCCATGCTCCCTGAATAGAAACCATGTATGTATTCCAACTATTGGGCAGGAAAAAGCAAATGGCTGAATATCACATTGGATATACATTGTTTACAATGAAGTGGAGCAGAGTCAGCCAACTTGGATTATATTCTCCTAAAGGTCTTTGTCCTGCAAAGGGAGCTACTTGCAATACTTGTGGGAAGTTGAGTCATTATGCACAAATACGTCCATCATTCCAAGCTGCCTCACATACTTTTGTCTTTTTGCCTTTGGTCAAAGAGAGTTTTCAACTTTAAAATTCAAGGTTATTTTTAGGGAGCTTGGCTACTGGTTTCTAGTTAGAAATGAATAGAGACAGCTTGTTTTGTTGGGGCAGATATGTGTGTGTTATTGACTAACCCCCCCCCCCCAAAAAATTTGCTGGTAGAAGGAAAATGTTTAGTAGATGTTATGTTGCAAGGAATGTTTGTCAAACAAATTGAACATGAATGTGTAGAAGAGTATGCTTTTGCCTATTTCGTTATATAGAAATAAAGAGCAGGTATGTCAGGACAACATGAAGTAAGTTGAATGCAGTGGGTATAGGGTACTTAAGAAGTTTGTGGGATAAAAAAGGAGGGACAGAGTCAAGAATGAAGGGATGATTTAATGAATGTGGACTGAAATAAAAATGAGTGACCAGGAAAAAAGTAGCATGTTGATATGGTCTGGCCACATGGAGAAAATGAACAAGGATGGAATCATAAAACAAATACATTTCCAGACCACCGACTGAAAAGTGAATCATGGAACACTGCCTAGAGGTTAGTTTCACTGCAAACAGATTAGAGGTCACTTCAGAAAGTTGATAAGTTCCACATCCTGTATTTTCTTCTAGCCAATCCAAATCTAGCTTTTGATTTCTCATCTTCTCCTCCTCCTCCTCCACCACCACCACCCATCTGTAACATCTCTGTAACATCTCTGCACTCTCAGCATTCTTTTCCCATAATTCATGGTCCTTTGCCAATGCCCCAACATATATGAAGGAAAAGTAAACTGAATGGATGGAGTGGCCAGGGAAGACTCTGAAAGTTGTGGCTGGATAGAGCTGATGGAAATGGGATTCTCAAAAAAAGAGGTTAGATGTTTAAACAACAGAAGGCAATGCCTGAATAGGTTATAGTCATAGTGGAAGCATGAATGGCTGAATGATATTTGTATTTCCTTTTTCTGTGCCTTGCATAATGTTTTCTAAATGTCTAAATTCTATTTTTAATTTAACAATTTTATTGCTAATAATATCCCAAAAGAAAATATTTCAGTTGATATAAAAATAAATGTTTCCATTGGAATTTCAGCCTCTCAGATAGATTATGTTGTATGGTATTATTGCAGCAATTGCATCAACAATGAGACAGAGTATTTTCTTTTCATAATTCAAAAATCACATACAGAAAGGAAACTAGGTGCACAAAAGAAAATTTCCTTTTTATTCTTCAACAGAACTGGGCACGTTTCATTAATTTCTTATACTGTGATGGTCACCCAGTAACACAGTACCAACCATGTTATTAGGAAGAACAAAACAAAATTATATGGAGATGGAAAAAAGAACAATTCTCTGTTTTGTAAGTCAGCAAATTGTATGTCTGTTTTTAAAAGGAGAATTATGTTAAAATTATCAAATAAAAATATGTGGATTTATCCAAATTCTAAGCTATTCTGATGGCATATCAACACATATTTAATTATGCTAGTGAAGAACTGTATTTTAAGAAATATGGTAAGGTGCTTTTTATTTTCCCACCAAACCAGTGCATTTACTTCACTTGGAAAGAAGTGAGGACTTCTATCAGGGAAGGGTAATCTTTCAACATGGTGGGAGAAGAGGAAGAAGGGAGGCAGAGACTCAAAATTATATTTTTGAGAGGCAAATGCTTGAACAGCATGGTTCCAGAATCAGTTTCAACAGGGCTGGGATTTCTGTTGTGATTTGAGTTCATTTTCTGTCTATGAAATAGCTGTTCTCTGCTGTACTGGAAAGACTGATCAATATTATGTTATGGTGTCAGGGTTTAATGATGTGTTTTAGAAATGGGCTAAATGACTCTTTTCTTTATGATGCTTTTCTGGTTTTCTCCCCCCGCCCCCCTTTTTTTGTTTCTTTATTTTTCAGTATATTAAAGCTTTGGGTTTTTTGGTTTTTTTAAGGACTGGCATATCCATTATTATTTTTTTTCATCTTTTATTACTTGGCAGTTTGTTCCTAAATTCAGTGGCAATTTCTGGAAGCTTGAAAGGCAGCAAAAAGGAGGGGAGTTCAACACATGTGTTTACCCAGCCTTAAATTTTCCCAAGGTCATCCTTGAATTTCTCTTTTAATAAAACAGCAGATACTCTTCACAAGTCTTGAAAACTGGATTTGTCCAAACCTGGTACATTTAAACCACTATAAGATACAGTTGGGGAGAAAGTAGATTTGTCTCTATTGACAAATCTCTTGATGATTTACAGAACAGCCAATGTTTTAAGTTAGCCTTCATGTTCCTCCCCTGTAAAATAGAAGAGTTAATTGGTTTTTTTGCAGTTCAGTTGTCCAGTCTTAGTTTTGTGCTTATCATAGTAATTCAGATATAGACTTCTATATATATACATAGGTCATTTCAGTATATAGCTCCTGCTGTTCAGTAAACAGTTGGCTCTGCTCTCATGAGACTTTTTTTCTGCCATCAGCCATTATTTTGTATATGTATCCAGTCACTGGATCTTGAGTGTTCTTGCCCACTGCTTCTACAAAGACCTCAGGCCTAAGTTCCATTTCAGGGGGGAAAAAAATCTTACCAAGTCAATGGGGATACAACTAACTAAAGGACAAAGGCAGTTACAGGAACATGCTTCCAAGTTATCTCCCTGCCCAACACTGTATCATAATGATTATATTCCAGATATTAATGATGAATGAATCCATGATCTACCATATACTACTGAATTGCTCTAATAGCACTTTGAAAGTATATGTACCAAATAGCTAACCTTCCAGCCTACTTATATCTTAGGGTCACTAGGATGAAATCTCACTCACTGGGAATGGTGAAAAAAATGTAATAGGTAGTCAGGGCCAGTTTCAATTTTCAGCAAAGTGATGTATGATGAATCTCCACTGAGGTGGGTCTTATTACCTAGTAGTAGCAATAATGAGCAGTCATTTTCCTTTCTCAGGGTATGGGAATATCCAGAGAAATATTTGATTTTAGACTTTGTGACAAATTAAAATGTCTATCACGATTAATTGAGCATGTGGCCAGGAATCTACAACAACTAGATCCCACTTGGGTGATCAAGTGCAGCAGATACCCAACAATGGTGCCTGATTTAAACAGAAGATTATCAGTGCAGATAATTGTTATTTATACTACTAACAAATTTCACCCTAAATTTGTAAACTAACTACTGGATTGGGCAAGGAATGATTAAAATAATTTCCAGAACAGAACGCCACTCTTTTGACTTTGTCATTACAAAATCTCTGGCATCCAAGGTCTCCTGGATAAGATGCTTGTCTTGACATTTGAATATAGAAGTGTTATTCCACTTTCTAGCCACACAATCCTTTGTAATTTCAAATACATTTTTCAAAAAATGGACAGAATTATTCCAATAGTTTAAGGCTCATTCACAGAAGAGCCTCATGCCAAAAGAACAGATGAGTGTCAGGCTTGACACTTCATAGGTGACACATTGCAGTCAGAAGAGCTGCTAGCTGTTATAGACACTCAGAAGCCTGTCAACGTTTTTTTTTTTTAAAGAGTCTGATCTTTAAACCAACTCTTAAACCACTGTAATAATTTTATATTTTTGCATCCCAATGAAAGGGGAAAATGCATTGCATTCTGCTGCACATATGGACTTCTTGGGAAACATTCAGCTTAAATACCTTTAGTTCTCAGAAATAATAATAACAATGATGATGATGATGATGATGATGATGATGGTGATGATGGTGATGATGATGATGATGTCACTTGCAAAAGGCAGTTTTATTTGGAACAGCTTACATCCTGTGCGATACCTTTAACACCAGCAAACAACATCTACCTATCCCAGGTCCTTGGGAAGCACTCCATAGGTGGATAAAAATGCCAAATCCAGTCTAAGCATCTGGCTGACTGTGCGACCAACCATAACAATAATGCAGCCTCCAGTTAGTTTAAGTTAGTGAAACAGATAAACATTATATTGCAAGATAAAAGTAATTAATTAAAAATAAATATAAGGGGAGCAGGGGATGATGGTGACCCATATAAAATAATCAAAATTTGTCAGTGCTGAGTCCTGATGTATTGCAGAGGGGAGGTTATTCTACAGGACAAGTGCCACTGCAGAGAATTCCCACCTCACATTCTTATTAAATGAATGTGAGCCACACAAGCCATACATGAACAACAGCAATACTAGACCACTGGGGACTAGTATCCCAGGGGACATTCTTTAAGTTAACCTGGTCCTGAGCCGTTGAAGGCTTTGCATACTAACATCCACACCTTGAAGGTGGCCCAGGAGCAGACTGGCAGCCAGTACAGATCTTTCAGCACAAATATAACAGCTTGCATCATGAGCACCCCCAGCTGCTGCATCTGAACCAGTTACACTTTCTGAAACAGACTCAATGTCATAAACTCCAGTTTCAAATTTGCCAATGTATGAACGACAGGGGCCTCTGCAACAGAAAGAGGACTCCAACAAGGACTCGGGAAGAAAGGGTGGGGAAAAGCATGACCAGTAGCATGTAAAAATAAGACTCTTAACTACTGAGGCACTTCTCCATAAAATCAGGACTTATTTTGATTTTCAGTAGCTTTAATCTCATTCTTTTTCTCATCATTCAAGTGAGTGAATGTTCATCTCACCTCATACTCCTCTTTAAATCCATAGCCCTGTCCCCGCTTCATCTGAGTGATGTGCTGCAATAAGTCGGCCACTCGGATTGCTGGCTGGAACTGTCCCCTGGGATAGGACATTTCCACCGGGTCACAGCTTCGATAGGGATGGGTCTGGATTGTCAGGGTCGGTTGAGTCATCTCCCCATGGCTATTGTCTGTTTTAAAGATAGGGAGGCAAAACAAATTTTCACCTAGCTGTTACTTGTGCATTTGTTTTCTTTCCCCCAGGAATTAATTTCCCCCCATGGGTAGGGAACTGAACTACCCCCCATGGGTAGTAAAGGACTGTAGAGAAACCATCTATGCCCAATGCCACCCAGTAATGCTGAAGGAAGAAAACACAGAAGCAACGAAGTCATGAAACGGTTCTATCAACAGCAGGAAGAATATGACTTTTTGATGCACTTGACATCAGAACTGAAGCATCCTTTTCATGCTATCTAGTCACACGAAATAGTCACCCACCCTGCCCTGCTCTGCCTGTTGGTTTCTAAGCTGAAGGGGAGGAACATAACACAGAGAGGTGATATCTACTTTCCCCGGTTATTTCTCCCATCTTTATTTTTTGCCAGCAGAAGCAAGTAGGGTGCCAGTGCTATTTTACAGCCTGTGGAGGAACTGGATGGATGAACAAAGAGCTCTGATAGATTGGCAGTTTATGCTTTGTCTAACTGAAGATACACATTGGCAAACGCAACACAGATTTACATACATTTTTCAAATATTATTGCTATGATTTAAATAATAAGGCAATATATCTCATAAGAGTGGGGACTATGTGATCTGCTGCTTATTCTGTTCACTAGTACTAACTCTTGATGTCCTCTTCAGGGATCCTGCTTTCCTTCCGTTGGTTCTTAATTTTTGAATGACTTTAAGGATCTTTTCCAACTTGTTCCCTTAGAACATGGCCTGGCAATATTTATTTTTCTACTTTACCCCTTATTCTGACACTATTCGAGGGTAGCCTCAAGTTAAGTAAATCTGCTTGGTTCATTTACTCATTATCATGGAAGGAAATTACTGTACATGACTGACAGTGATTGGGAACTGAAGCAATCAATACAGAATAGGGTTTGGCAATGGGAACAGCAAATTTCATGCCAAGATTATTTTTGTCCCAACGCAAAGGTGTGTGAACAGCACTTCTGTTCAGAAGTGGGGAAAGGCCCTCAGTGTGGATGTTCCTTCTAGCAGAGGACTGCAATGTAGAATGTGACCATTCTAAGTATCAGTATTAGGGCAGGAGAACCTAAAATGTTTTACTGCTTTATGTCAATGCATCTTAAAAATATGAAAGAAATGGGGTTCTGACTTTTTCTCAGGCACGCTAAAAGAATTTCAATAAGATAACTGATATGTGGCAAATTCTCTTTTTCTATTTTCTCACATCAGCTAACCTATATGGAGATGTTAGGAAATCAAATATTAGATGCTTCTTTAATGTGCTTTATTCTGCATTTCATACTTTTCATATATGGGATTGAATTCTCATTTTTTTCTTCTTAAATTGAATGAGTTTAGATGAGGTCTCACCAGTCCTTTACACATTACAAAAAATAGAGTACGTTTGTGGGGTTTTTTTTTTTAAATGTTTTGGAGCACTAAGAGAAGATGAAGCTCTTTTTATGGAGAGCAGCAGGTCTGTAATTCTTCACTAGAAATCTCCAGACAATCTTGTGACTGAGATATATGTATGTGAATGTTATTCTTAAAGCTATATAATACAATACTAATCTGCATTTTTAACATTTCTGTTCAGTGTTATCTGTCCAGAATTAGTAAAGGACAATAGGGTAGAAAGAATGAGAAAAAATAAATTATAAAGAAGAGACAGTAAGACCTGAAAGTTCAATATTATGTGATATGGAAGAAATATGTAGAATGCTTTTGATGCTTTCTCACTTTCTCTTTTAGTTTTCTACAGCTGCCATGGAAGGGAAAGAATAGGTCAACTGTTACACTCCTGAATATATTTTTCTCCAGCCACTATTGTCTAAAATTAAGCCAGATAATTAGAGGGCAGAAAACACCTCTGAAGAAGAAAGTTATGGCCAAAAATATAAAAGGTGTAAGTGTCAGTGCAGTTTTCAGAATTTTATCAGCAATGCATAAATATTTTTAAAAAGTTAAACATTTGGCTTGTGTACAGCCATTATTATGGGTGAAGACTTAACAGAGTAGCAAACTAAGCACTTATTTATTCAATTAACAAGTCTAACGTCATTGCTAATGATAATGACTCTGAACAGAGGGGATTTTCAAGGCTTATTAGTTCTCCAGGCTGGATTTACTTTCTCAATTCATCTTTCCTTATCCTATTTCCCATTAACCCCCTTTAATAAAGAAGGAGATATTTTTATAAGTATGCCATTCCCAATGGACTTACTATCCTTAATTTTCCAACATTACACTGAATTCCACCCCAGTTTTACAAGTGGCTTCTCCATGGTCTGTACATTTTTATGAATCTCAATTAAAAGCACTGCATGCTTCCATTACAAGAGGGAACTATTGAAAGTAATACAGACTTGCTAAAGCATATTCAAAGCCACTGGATACGTCATTATTCAAAATTACTCCGTTCATGTTCAAGTGTAATTACTATTTCCCATGCCTAGATTAAATGCTCTTTTGGTCTCTGCCATTTTTTTCAGTTTTATAATAAAAAAGTTGCCAAGTTTGAAAAACACTGCTGTAGAATATCAGTGGCCAGCCAGCTACTTATGCAGCAGTATTTTAAGCAACATCTGAAGAAAGAAAAAAGAAATAGATGATGACATAATCTGGGTTAGCCATTAAGAATCTAATATAAATATTTATAATAATATAAATATAAACAATCTAATATAAATGGCACTACAATGACATATGGGTCTTACAGTGAGTTACTGCCTCTGCTTGAGCTCAATGGTATTGAGAAATGAAAAAAAAACAAACTCCTTTTCCAATGTTCTGCTATTTTAACTTGCACTACTAAATGGGATGATGTGTCCTGCAAAGTTGTAAGTAAGTACTATTTCCAACTAACACAAAGGACTTTGTCACAAGCTACATTCACAAATTGTAAAATGTAATGAAGTTCCTCAATCCTTTCCCAGTGAAGTAGAGGAGAATATATGAGTCTGGATCCTTTGTAGAGAAAATCTGAACATGGATTTTTCAGTGTCAGCCAAATTTTTCACACCAGCTCTAAATGGTCAATTTCTAGTATTGTAAGCAAAAGCTGATTCTCTGTTTTGTAAAATAAGCAGCAACAAAAAGCAGTATATAGTTTTTCCTCACAGATAATCTCTGAGTTCAAAACAACACCAGTACTCAGTTTCTGCAAGTAATACATAGTGTTAGAGATGTCTTTGCTATTTCTATGATGTCTAGGCATAAATGTAGCTATGCTCATAAGATAGTCTGGAAATGGTTTTTGCCATCTCTTAGGAATACTGCTTACAATCCCAGAACAAATTAATATGCCCTAGTATGAGTAATAAATTATTGTTTCTAATCAATAGGAGGAATTTTCTGAAGATACTATTATAGTTTAAATTTCTTCTATTTCTCTCTGCCCTATAGAGTTCTACATAACAGAAGAAAAATATATTAAAATTGTTTAGAGTGATTTGCTGTATTTGCTATATAGAATTTTAAAAATAAT